ATCCTTGACCATTGCGTAGTACATCTTCCCGGTTCGGTTATGAGGCTTCTTCCGTGGTCCGCTTACCTTTAAAATGCTTCCCTTTCTTTCTTACTTGGTGGTTCAAAGGAAGGAATCGACGATGGCCAAGGTACACGACCTTTCGACATCTTTTCAAATATATACCGTCAAGGTCATCAAAACAATGTGTGCATGCATTATATCCTTTGTTTGTCCGACCAAAGATTACTTAAAGCAGGCCAATCATTGATGGTTACGAACAACATTGCTCGTGAGGTCAAAGTGTTCTTGTTTGTACTCATCCTGCACACGTACACACCGGTTTGTTCCATAAAACTAGAAGTTCTTCAACTAATGGCTTCAGATATACATCAATATCGTTGCCGGGTTGCCTCGGACCTTGGATGAGGATCGGCATCATCATAATGAACTTCGCTTCATGCATAACCATGGAGGAAGGTTGTAGATACATAGAGTAACCGCCAAGTGCTATGACTAGTGCTCTGCTGCTGTCCAAAAGGATTCATACCATCTGTACTTAAGGCGAACCTTAAGTTTCTAACCTCATTTGCAAACTCGAAAATTCTCTATCTATCGCTTCTCCACTGGGACCCATCAGCTGGGTGTCTCAGCATATTGTCTACCTTACGGTCTTCTTTATACCACCGCAACAACTTTGCGTGGTCTTTATTTCTGAACAAACGTTTTAAGCGTGGTATTATAGGAGCATACCACATAACCTTGGCAGGGATTTTCTTTCTAGGACGTTGTTCACCCTCGACGTCACCAGGATCATCGCGTCTGATCTTATACCGCGATGCTTTACATACCGGGCATTCATCCAAATTCTCGTATTCATTGCCATGGTAGAGGATACAGTCATTAGGACATGCATGTATCTTCTGGATTTTTAATCCCAAAGGGCAGACAACCTTTTTTGCTTCGTACGTAGTGGTGGGCAATTCATTTGGCTTCGGAAGCATCTTCTTTATGAGGTTTAATAAATTCCCAAATGCCTTATCGGATACACCATTCTTTGTCTTCCACTGTAGCAATTCCAGTGTTGTACCCAGCTTTTTTTGCCCCTCTTCGGCCGTCGGGTATAGCAACTTCCTATGATCCTCAAGCATGCGCTCCAACTTAACTTTCTCTTTTCACTTTCCCATTCTTGTTGTGCATCACGAATGGCATCGCCAAGAGCATCACCGAGATCATCTTCTACCGCTACCTCTTCTTCATCTCCCCCCCATTGTAGTATCATCAAAGGCACCATACTGAGCAATAATGTCATCAATGTCTAAATCTTCTCCTTCACCTTCTTCCATCATGACCCCGCTTTCTCCATGCTTAGTCCAACATATATAGTTTGACATGAAACCTGACTTAAGCAAATGTGAATAAAGACTCATTGAGCTTGAATATCCCTTTAAATTCTTACATAGGGCACATGGACAAAGATATGAAACCATCCGCTTATTTGCCTCGGCCACACCTAAGAAATAGTGCAAGCCCTCTATAAAGTCTTGGGAGCGGCGATCGGCATTGTACATCCAATGGCGTGACATAATCAGTATTACACGACAAATTATGAAAACCTTGAACATAATTAAGTATTTTATTACATAACATAAATGACACACACACGGTTGATTAATTAACTAAGCCTGGCTACAACGTAAGCAATCCCAACTATCACTAAACAAACTAAAACTACAATGCACTTCAAGAATATAATTATTTTGTGATCGTGCGCAACTAAAAAATGAGACAAATCATTCTTCCGTTGAATATCAATAAGCTTCTCCCTGCTGGCTCATCGCCTCATCAAGCACATCCGCTACCTCAAGCGCACCCAAATTCTGCACGTATGTAGCATAATCTTCCTCCCAAGATACCAACCATCGCATCCATTGCCCTCCCACCGAAATTAAAGCCAAAAATATTTAGTCAAAAATATTCAAAAAAAGCAGTCAGTCAATTAGCCATAATTATAAAATGCGTAAGAAACTCACATCGCGATCCGGCACTTGTAGAAAACACGACCCTTGTTGGGTCCCTGTCTCTTGACTCGGTACTCCATCACAATCTTCTCGCTTACACTTGCCGCAGATAATGAGAGGGAGTTCGGCCTCGATCGTTCAAGAACCGAACGAGAGGCCGAGGATCCAAAACGATGCTTGTCATCTACTTTCTATACTTATTTTTGCAAACTAGTGTAAATTTCATATTTTCAAATATCCATCAAATTATAGCTCAAAAACATGTTTCAATAAATAACCATCCGTATTAGTTGACCTTGCTTACGTGATCATCTCGGCGAGCATTTCTCCACCGGACGGCACCGTGCCTTGGCCAAGAAAGAGCTCCGATTCTACGAGAAAGGGAACACGGTCTTCCATGACCGCTGCCGCTCTCCTCGTAGAATCAAAGCTCCTCTTTGACGTCCGTTACCGCTTTGGCGAGAGAAAATGCTCACCGAGATGATCACGGTCCGCAAGTTCAACTAGTACGGATTTTCTACAATTTTCTAACTATTTTCTAAGTTTTTCATTTCATGGAAAAATTAATTCTAAGATCACGTAAGCCGCCGATTTACGAGGATGGCGCGTGCTCCAAATGAGAGACGAAAGCGAGGCGTGATTTTGATGAACTAATTTAACTTTTGTTTATCCAAACATATATGCAAATCATCATGTGATTTTGAGCTAAAAATGACATATAAAATCATAATAAAGTCCAACATATAAAGTTACACATGCATCTACATCGCAAAATGAGATAAGCTACTGATAAAACATAAGAGGATTAAGTTTGTTACCTCCAAAATCGAAGAGCAACACCAATGGAGGGGGAGAGAGCAAGAACAACAGCAAGCTGAAGAACAGAGGCAGTGAGTTTGAATGGAATGGCTCGGGCTCGGGGAGGAAGAAATGAGCCGTTGTATAGGCCCGCATAATTAGTCCCGGTTAGGTGGCCAAATCGGGACTAAAGATTAATATTTATTCCCGAGATATCACCCAAACCGGAACTAAAACCTTTAGCCCCGGCTAGTATTACCAACCGGGACTAAAGGTTTACCTTTAGTCCCGGTTGGTAATACCAGCCGGGACTAAAGATCCCTGCCCCGCGGACGACCGTTGGGCAGGGACCTTTAGTCCCGGTTGGTATTACCAACCGGGACTAAAGGATCCTTTAGTCCCGGAGGTAAAAAATGCCGAGGCTAATGCTAAATTGGGACATCGTTCTAAAGTCTGTTCTCTAGTAATGCAACCCATGGCCATGCATGGCCTGGCCCTCCTTTCGAACGGTTTCGATCGGTTACCGCGCAAGCTGATGGAGGACGATGATGGCAAAAGGGTTTGGCTCACACAGCACACGCGCGCGCGTTTGTTTGGAGGGGGCAGGCAGCACGCAGCAGACACGGGTGCGCGCGCAGTCGGAGAGCCGAAGAAGCAAGGAAACCCCAATGGACCTGGAGAAAGCAAGTTTGCAACATGAATCTAACTAGTACACGTACCTCAAGATATATATATATATATATATATATATGCCATACGCAGAAGGCAATCGAACCAAGCCCTGGTTTAGTTCGGGAAATTTAGGATTTTAGGTTACTGTAGCATTTTCGTTTTTATTTGGTAATTAATGCTCAATCATGGATTAATTAGGCTCAAAACGTTCGTCTCGCAATTTCCAATCAAACTGTGTAATTAGTTTTTTTCGTCTATATTTAATACTCCGTGTACGTATCGCAAGATTCGATGTGATAGGTACTGTAGCACTTTTTGAAAAAAGTTTTCGCGAACTAAATAAGGGCCAATAGTAACACAAATCGATCTATTGATGTGTTTAGTTCCAGGAAGTTGAAATTTGGGGCTACTGTAGCACGTTCGTTTTTATTTGGCAATTAGTGTTCAAACATGGATTAATTAGGTTCAAAACGTTCGTCTCGCAATTTCCCACCAAACTGTGTAATTAGTTTTTTTCATCTATATTTAATGCTCCATGTATAGGCCGTAAACATTCAATGTGACAGGTACTACAGTACTTTTTGAAATTTTGGGGTAAAACTGAACACGCGCTCTGCTATATGAAGGTTTTTGGACTGCTAACAGTGCATGCATGCGCGTCCTTTAGTCAACTAACCATCTATCCCGGCCTGCAGCTTGCACGGGTGGATAGATAGATCGATCGGTCTCACACGTTTTGCTAGTTCCTTCAAAGTTCCAAGTTTTTTCATTCTCTCTCCATCACATTAATTTTTGGACGCTTACATGGAGCATTAAATGTAGGTAAAAAAAATAACTAATTACACAGTTTAGTTGGAAATCACGAGATAAATCTTTTGAGCTTAGTTGGTCTACGATTGGATAATATTTACCAAATAAGACGAAAGTGCTACTATTAATCGGTTGAAATTTTCTTCAATCTAAACAAGGCCTAGCTTAATTTCTGACAAGCAAGCAATGAAGCAAAGGAGGGCCAGGCCAGGCGGCCAGCTGCGTGCCTAGCTAGCATAGCAGCGCTAGAGCTAAGCACGCAGCCGAGCTAGCTGTGCGTACGTCGCTTTGCTTTCAATGCATCGATGGATACCCCTGATTGCACTTTACTATTTTTTTTTCGGTTACCACCTGCAGAATTCGCTGCAGCAAGTCATCGCCACCACCACCTTCTCTCTCCTCCAACGTTTTGGCCAGCGCGAGGAGACCACACACCATCCACCACCCTAGCTATATATACACGCACATTCTCTCGCTCCGCTCCTCTCCCCGGCAGCATCTACTACTAGGGCTAGCTAGCCCTTCTCTCTCTCTCTAGCTCGTCAGTGATCAATACTACCACCGCCCCCAAATTCCACCTCTCAAGAACAGCGCTGGCCGCCGGTGGTGTATCTAGCATCGCGTTCTAAGCTACTAGGAATCATATCGGGAGAGAGAGATAGAGAGAAAACGAAGCAAAGTTTCCGGCCAGAGGTGATCGGCGCCAGCAAGCAGAGCAGCATGGGCAAGAAGTGCGTGCCCCCCGTGGCCATGGTGCTCGTGCAGCTGGGCTTCGCCGGCATGAATGTGGTGTCCAAGCTGGCGCTGGACGCCGGCATGAGCCCCTACGTGCTCATCGCCTACCGCAACCTCATCGCCGCCGCCATCATCTCCCCCATCGCCTACTTCGTTGAGAGGTACTGTACCTTTGCAAAGCAAAACATGCATGTATAGGTACACCATCTGCATGCTCATCGTCATCATGTTCCTGCTGATCGGAGTTTCAGTTCATTGGGTGTACGTTAGTTCGTTCACACACACACACACACACACACCTTGCATGCAGGTCTAGACGTCTAGTGCGCTTACTACTAATCACAGTCCATCGGGCGTACGTTTCAGTGCTGCCTTGCTTGTGAGATGAGGCTGTGTGTGTTTCCCCTTTTCTTTCGAGAAAAAGAGCTTCCTTGTTCAGCTCGTCGACCGATCGTTTTGTTTGGCTCTACAAAAAGAGTCGATGAGCTAGCATCTATTAGTTGCAACAATAAGCACACCTTCGGCCGGCCGGTGACTAGCTATAGCTTCTGAATCTATACAACAATGTCTCCATTTACCACGAATAGATGGTTTATGGTACTCCTTTCCTAGCTCTCTTCTGTTCGAGTTCGTTATGTATGATAAAGGTTTTAGTACTAGGAGCCAGCCCAGGAGGAATACTCTGTTGCCGCTCATGTCCCTGTCCCGTTCGCTTCGCTGAAAAAAAAGTCAAAACACTGTTTCGACTAATCTGATCTTATTATAAGACAAGCAAGGCCTATGTAGTAATTCGCGGTGCTGTCCGCGCATATAGTTGCCACGTGGAATTTAATTTAATCGATTAAGCTAACTTCACCGTATAGATATTTACGGTTGCGGCCGCTTAATAATTGAGTTAAATGAAGAATTAGGCCTCGCTCGGTTGAATGGGAACGATTCCCAACCTTCGAGTTCCTTTGTTAATTTGTACTAGCGCGGAACGGTGGTTCCTGGCGCGGAGCGGCCTGTTCCGGGCTAACCGAACGGGCCTTATTCGTTTTGGAATGGAACTAAGCCCTTTAGTTCGTGAAATTTGGACGTTGGGATACTGTAGCACCTTCGTTTTTATTTGGCAAATAGTGTTCAAACATGGACTAATTAGGCTCAAAACGTTCGTCTCGCAATTTTCTATCAAACTGTGCAATTAGTTTTTCTTTTCGTCTACATTTAATGCTTCATGCACGGGTCGCAAACATTCGATGTGACAGGTACTATAGCAACTTTTTTGAAATTAAGATGAAACTAAACAAGGGCTAATACATGTACTGTGCATGCAGACGAAGCGGGGCGACGATCACGAAGAAGGTGCTCCTCCAGATCTTCTTCTCCTCCATCTTTGGGTACGTCCGTCAATCCCCCCGTGCTAGCTCTTTCTTCAGTATATATCAGTAGTGTCACTGCACATTCAGCCCTTGTTTAGTTGAGGGAAAAGTTAGAATTTGGCTACTGTAGTATTTTTGTTTTTATTTAGTAATTAGTATTCAATCATGGATTAATTAGGCTCAAAACGTTCGTCTCGTAATTTTCCACTAAACTGTGTAATTAGTTTTTTTATCTACATTTAATACTCCATGCATGTATCATAAGATTTGATGTGATGGATACTGTATCATTTTTTTGGAACTTTTTTTACAACTGAACACGGGCTCAGTTGAGGCCTTGAGGGAGGGCATCAACACCTGCATTGCAGCCGTGTGGTGTGGCCTGGCTAGGTTTGGTAGGTTAGGTGCTGAAATTAATTAAGTAAGAGTACACTACTCGTGATAATGTCAGTCAGGTGTCACAGACAAGAAAGCAAGCAGCTAAGGGCAAAGGAGCATGCAGCCAAAGGCTTCAGTTCCCTGCAGTGTTCTTCCCTTAGCTTGTGGACTTTGGCTCCCAGCCACGTTTGTGCGGTACACGAGCTTCATCTTCCGTCAGGAAAAGGGACATGCCCGTTTCCCAGTGTCGCGCTGCTTCTGCCCTTGTTGCCACGATCAATTGTTTTAGCCAAAACCAAAACCTAGCGCACAGCGCGTCTTAGGTCTTGTTTAAATCTATAGGTAAAGTTTTAGGGTGTCACGTCAGGATACTAATAAAAAAACAAATTATAGAATTCATTAGTAATCCGTAAGACAAATTTATTAAACCTAATTAATTCATCATTAGCATATGTGTACTGTAGCACATGTGATGATGTAGCATCACATTGTCACATCATGGACTACTTAGGCTTAAAAGATTCGTCTCGCAAATTAGTTGTAAACTGTGTAATTAGTTATTTTTTAATCTATATTTAATACTCTATGCATGTGTTAAATATTCGATGGAATAAGAAGAAAACTTTTGAGAGGACTAAACAAGGCGTCCTTGTTTAGTTTCACCCTAACTTCCAAAAAGTTGCTACAGTACCTGTCACATCGAATGTTTGCGGCCCGTGCATGAAGCATTAAATGTAGACGAAAAGAAAAACTAATTGCACAGTTTGGTGGGAAATTGCGAGACGAACGTTTTGAGCCTAATTAGTCCATGTTTGAACACTATTTGCCAAATAAAAACGAACGTGCTACAGTATCCCCAAAATCCAAATTCGTACAACTAAACACAGCCTTAATAAAAAAACAGCAGGTGAACAGAGCGCTTTTTAGACGAAGGCCTTGTTTAGATTACCTCTAAATTCTAAGTTTTTTCACTCTCTTTCCATCACATCAAATTTTAGACGCATGCATGAAGCATTAAATGTAGGTAAAAAAATAACTAATTACACAGTTTAGTTGTAAATCACGAGATGAATTTTTTGGCTAGTTAGTTCATGATCGGACAAAGTTTGCCAAATACAAACAAAACGAGCTGCAGTGTCCGCGAAAATTTGCAATCCCGGCCGTGAATTCTCTATCGATCAGATGTGACAGCAGTGACAGTACCTTGCTGATCGAAATTACCAACCAGTCAGGGTCTGTCAGTCTGACATGCACTTAGGCCTGGTTTAGATGAGTGTTAGGAATCATAATTGGGCATCGTAGCACTTTTATTTGTATTTGATAATTATTGTTCAATCATGGTCTAACCAGGCTTAAAAGATTTGTCTTGTAATTTACAATCAAACTATGTAATTAGTTATTTTTTATCTATATTTAATACTCTATATATGTGTTCAAAGATTTGATGTGACGAAGAGAGAGCGAAAAAACTTAATCTAAACAGGCCTTGCTTCGATTGCTGGCACGTGAGTGACGTGACGTGACTGCAACTGCAGGGCAACGCTGAACCAGGTGTTGTATTTCGTGGGGCTAAAGTCGACCAGCCCGACGGTGGCGTGCGCGCTCACCAACACGCTGCCGGCGCTGACCTTCGTGATGGCAGCGGCGCTGAAGATGGAGTCGGTGCGGCCGGGCACGGCGGCGGGGCAGGCCAAGCTGGTAGGCACGGCGGTGTGCGTGGGCGGCTCCATGATCATACCCTTCTACAAGGGGCCCGAACTCGGGCTGTGGGCGTCCCCGATCCACTGGCGCTTCGCGGAGCACTCCGCGGCGCCGTCGCCCGCCGCGGCCGCCGCCGGTGGACACGCGGGGGCCGCCGTGCTTGGGGACGTCCTCATCATCGCCAGCTGCGTCGCGTGGGCCGTCTGGTTCATCCTCCACACCAAGATGTCCGAGGGGTTCTCCGCGCCCTACACTAGCACCGCCATCATGTGCCTCATGGCCGGCGTGCAGTGCGCGGGCGTCAGCACCGCCATGGACCGCAGCCTCGACGTCTGGAAGCTCGGATGCGACATCAGGCTCTACTCCGTGCTCTACATCGTAAGCCATTCTATCATCTCTGCATACGTATATAGCTAGAAGCTAGTTGTTGAAATCGATTGATCAAATTCATTGAAATGGCGCTCGCAGGGCATCGTTGGCTCCGGGATCGGGTTCACGGTGATGTCGTGGTGCATCCAGGCGCGCGGCCCGCTGTACGTGTCCATGTTCAGCCCGCTGCTGCTCGTCATCGTCGCCATTATCGGCGGGGCCATCCTCGGCGAGAAGATACGCGTGGGAACGTACGTACGCACGGGGATCAATTGCAACGTCCTGAGATTAAATTAAATTAATTAATCGTGTCTTAACCGTGCAGTGCTGTCGGGTCCGTGCTCATCGTTGCTGGGCTATACATGGTGCTCTGGGGCAAGGGTAGGGAGATGGACAGACCGGGCCTCGACAACGACAAAGGCGACGAGGAGACAGCCGCCGCCGCCGCCGTGGGCCTTGGCTTCAGCGGCAAGGGTGGTGGTGCCGTCGCAATCGCAAGCAGCCGCGTCGACGCCATCAGCCTGCCGGTGTTCTCCACAACTAGCCCCAACAAGCGGCAGCCACTCATCCACGGGTGAAGGTGATGCCCGACGTCAGTTGGACGCGCCAAGAAATCTTGCAGGGTGTGGAGTGGCAAAAAAATAACGCAAAATAGCTAGTGGAGGAACGGAACCGGCCCGTAGGGAGGAAGACGGCGGCGACGATTGGTTTGGAGGGGCATAAATACAGACTTGTTGTATACGGTTCGTTGCAGTGCAGTTGCAGGAGCGTCAGAGTGTGGTTTGTTACAAAGAGGAAACAGACAAATAGGCGTGTGATGTGACTGTACTAGTGGAAAGGATTGCTTGCTAGCTTGGATGCTTTCGTGCTATCAGTTCCTCCAAAAAGTCTCAATATACAATTCTCTTCTTCTTCTTCTTCTTCTTCTTCTTCTTCTTCTTCTTCTTCTTCTTCCATTAAGTACAGTTTCTCTTTTTGCTCACTTTTTTACATGCCACACGATTGATTCATTGAAAAGAACAGAGGGCAAATCACTTTATTTTTACCTTCACATACATAATTTGATTTCCGGGAGGGAGTAAGCTGAATCATTTAGCCTCACCACAAATTTTAATTGAACTCTAAAATTCAAAGAAATATCCCTAATTCAAGAACCTGATTCTGAAGCAACAGATAATATACCCATAGCCGCATAGGCCATCCAGAGTGTAGTTTCCCTGGGCCCATGAAGAGTTGGCCCGAGCTGGTTGACATGGTGCAGGCCCATGAAGAAGGATGGGCCACGTAGAAACATTCTGTAGTAGTATATAGGAACAAGTCCATTTCAACTCCTCCAACTATATTGTCTTAGTTCCCCTCAAAAAAACTATATTGTTCTAGTCTGATTTTTCTCCCACAAACTCTAAACCTAGATGTCTTACTAAACCCTCAAAACTAAATTACCTCTCTACCCTAGATTAAAATGGTTTCAAAGGCAGTTTCATTTTTAGTTAATAAAAATTTGATAAATTTGCGTCAAAAAACAAAATTTTGATAAATACTTCATAAGATTTTTAAACCATTAAAATGCCTCTAAGTTTCTCAAAATTTCATAAAAAACTTAGAGATAGATTAAAACATGAGAAACCAAAAAATATTTAGAACTCTTGAAAACATCTCTAGAGGCTTCAAAAAAATTGGATTTATCCTTAGGAAAATGAGAAGAAAAATATAAAAAACTAGAAAAAGAATTCCAAAAACATTCAAATCAATGTCTAAATATGTTTTAAAATCTTTCCATGGCAAAAATATGAGATACCAGCATGAAAAATGCAACATACATTGATATTGAATACATTCATGCTAAGCACTCGTGTTGGTTGTGTTTCATGCTTTTGTTGTGAAAAGTTTTCAAAACATGTTTAGACGTCAATTAGAATATTTTGAGAATTTTATGGATATTTTCTCATTTTTCTAGAGCAAATCTAATTTTTGAAAGCTTCAGTAAACATTTCATTCAAATTTTTCGCATCCCAATATATCTCTAGGTTTTTTATTGAAACTTTTGGAAGCTTCGAGATATTTTATGTGGTTTAAAAACCTTATGAAGTATGTATCATACTTTTTAACTAAAGGAAATGACAAAACCGCCTCTAAACTAGACAAGGAGGTAACTTGAACGGTTTTAAGAATTTAGGGTGCAAGATTTCTGATTTTAAAGTTCGAGGCAAAAGCTAGTTTTTCCTAGTATGGCATGGCATACTTGGTGACCTTCCGGTTGCGTACCGGCATGGCATACTTTGGTGACCAGTGAAACCGACCGGTCGGCATGCCTGCACTGGCACAGGCGCACAGCACGTAGTACTGGTAGGCTACTATTCTAGCTGAAGGCCCTGATCGTTTATTTTATTAGCCATATTATTTCAGCGAACAAACAGTATTTTTTTTTCATAACATATCAGCGAACAATATTTTTAGTCATGACTTTTCAGCAAAACGAACAAGACCGAAGCCTGAAGGTAGAGGTAGGTAAAGACACAACTGATACGGCATAGGGATACATACGTCTTCTCCCCGCTCACAGTATGTACACGCATCTGAGGTATGGAGGCAGGCTGCTAAGCACCTTTCTGTTACGACCGAAATAACTATGCGTAAAAGTAAGAGCATGCACTTACCCAAGTCAATCACGACCTACTGCCTGAGTATCTAAATAAATAGCTAAGACAATTGAACTCATCAGGTCGTCGGTACTCTTCTCGGTCGATCTCCCTAGGTACGGTAGCTCCTAGTTACGGGTGTTTGATTTCTACGTGCGCTTCTAAAATTCATGTCACATCAAATATTTAAATATATATATGAAGTATTAAATATAGACTAATTACGAAATTAATTACACAACTTACGACTAATTTGTTAGACGAATCTTTTAAGCCTAAGTAGTCCATGATTTGACAACTTGGTGCTACAGTAAACATGTGCTAATGATAGATTAATTAGGTTTAAAAAATCGTCCCATAATTTAGCCTCCATCTATGTAATTGGTTTTATAATTAATCTATATTTAATGCTCTTTGTTAGTATCTAAACATTCGATGTGACATGAATTTTAGAGCGACTAAAGAATCAAACGCTCCCTTAGCATCATGGAAGATCCAACTTTAGTTTTAGGTCATCGATCGGCTAATCGTTATCACCTAACCGCGTCGATTTGGATTCGCGTACCGTTACGGATCGACGACAGCAGAACAGAGCTAGGTAGGCCAGATCTCCTACGCGTTGGGCCCAATCAGCCGCATATCTCTGTTATCTTTCGCTTTTCATGTTCTCTCCAAGCCTGGATGTAATTAGTTTCTGCACTTGTACTTATTTCTAAGCTTATAGGTCTTGTTTGCGACAACATCTCCAGCAGCTTCAGAAGCTATTGAGAGCTGTTTTTTGTCGAACAGCTCCTCAGACGATGAAGCTCCTAAAACCCGCTGTCATAAGTGAGAGAGCTGGATGAAAATGAAAATATCAGTTTCTCTCGGCTCCCTCTCCTATTTCTAGTATGAAAATTATTTTACGAAATATTTTTTTTCAAAATAGCTTTAGCTCAACCAGTGAAATTAGTCCCGCGTGTTTTGTTACTTTTTGGTACTTTTTCTTTGGTAATTTCTATTTTTCCACGGCCCGATCTAAATCAATGGAGGGTCCATATTTTTTTCAACCACCCTAAAACTTGTATAAAAAAAACTACTAGTGAAACAAAGTTGTATCAATTGAAGCCTTACTTTTTTTTTTGCAAATGGTAACACGTTGCTTGTGTCCCTTTTTTTTAGATGAGGGACAAATTTTTTGCTTTAGCAAGATCCTCAATCAAGTAGTACCACAAAAGTAGAAGACCCATACGCCTTAAATACCCCCTTCAAGTTCTTATTCTCAATATCGTTTTCCAGTGAACTCCGACTGAATGATTGATGAGACAGTCACATCTGATACTCTTTCTCTGCCATTTGCGTTTCGTCTTCTGCCTTTTCCGAAATTCCTCTTCGTTCTGTGTGTTTGTCCATGCAAATGGTTAAAGCCCATTTGGCACGACTCATTTAAAACGGCTTCACTGGTGAAGCCAAAACCGGTGAAGCTAGAAAAACTGATTTTTTACGGCTTCTAGTTTATTTTAACTCCGGTTTACAAAACGACTTCACGCTACAATGCCTCGATTTGTGTAAAATAGATGAAGTCAAATCCGGCATAAGCCGTGCCAAAGAGGCCCTAAATAAACTACCTCGGCATAGCAAGATGCATGAATCAGTACTGCCGCACTATTGAAAAAGCAGTTAGCTTTTTGGTTAAAGCAGGTCAGGTTGAGCTTTGCGTTAATCATGTTTATGTGTTCAAAAGAAAGTTTAGACCAAGTGAAGCACGTTTCGTTTCTAATGCGTCTCTAGAAAGAGACAAGGATATAGAGAATATATAAGTACTAGATATACATAGCCGAAGACAAACTGTGTATAGCGGCATAACACAAGTCAATTTCTTCATTCATTGCTTGTGGTTGAATGTGGTATTTTATTGACGCTGGTTACTATCTCCTCTTTTTAGGTCTGTTCGGCTTACCTTATAATCCGTATTATTCAGCTTGTTTTTTTAGTTGGAACAGTATTTTTCTCTCACAACAATTCAGCAAGAACAGTATTTTTCAGCCAATTCAGTCAAGTTTCATCAAACCAGAACAGTGTAGTTTAGCCTTAGCTGAAAGGATTCGTCTGTTCTATTCTGTTTGCATCGAACTAGACATGGTTGGCACTGCGCATCATATAACATGCCTACTCAACATCAGCAGCGTTGCTCAAAAGCAAGCAGGTACCTGCCCCCACTACGGGGAGACTCTGTCATGGTGCACGGATTTGTGATGACTGAAACTGAGTGCTATTTTAGCCTCCAGTACGAGCACCACGGCACGGCTGCTGCCCCCACCCCACTTACTAGTGCTAGGGGGAAACGACTCTCTGTCCCTTTCTATTCTTTTCATATTATTTGAACTTGGCTTCCCAAACCAGTTGATGTTCATTGCTACCAAACACTAACAATTGCCCTTCCGTCCCAATTCAACTCGCTATTGATGTCCAAAGGCAGTTTGTTGAATCGACATACGCCTTACTCCTCTCTTGGGCCCGGTCAAAGACTTAAAAGCTCAAATTTCAGAAATGAAATTTTCTTAAATAAAGCTAGAAGCACTGCCACATCTATGATGGCTTGGCCTGTTTGGATCATGACTAGATTATTATAATCTAGATTATAAACTATAATAATTCAAGTGTTTAGATTCCTTGGTTATTGTGGTGGATTATTCTTGGTTCGAGTGACAAATAGTCAGGGCAGCTCCAACAATCGACTTTAAAGCTAGCTCTAAGTATTTTTCTCATATTTTAATAGAAGAGAGAGAAAAACTAGCTCTTAATAAAAAGCTAAGCTCTTGCACACACTTCAAGTTACATGAGAGTGTCATGTGTGGCTATCCATGTTAAAAACTGTGTGCTAAAAGTTAAGACTATTGGAGAAGTTGGCTTAAAGCTAACTCTAACCATTGCGGGTGCCCTCATAATAATAAAAAAAT